CCCCCACTGAGCAGCACAGTTTTAAAGAGTGCACATTGATATTCATTTTCCTTCTAATTCTGCAGATGCAAATTAGCTCAATGAAGGAACTGAGTGGATAATGGAAAAGTGTTTATTCTACATTGTGAAATAGTGAGCCTAGAAAATTAATAAGTTTTGACATTTAAGATCTTTCTATTTCTATTATATTATATGAATATGAAATATGAATGATTATTTGCTTCTCTTCTTAAGAATGCCATTCCCAATCTAGCCTTGATCAAAGTGATAGAGACCCAGAATAAAAGTACAATGTAATAAAATACACAGTGGGCATTCAAGTCTGTGTACATTTAAAACAGACTCCAAAGAGTGGTTCAAAATTCACCTGGAATATTCCTCACTATTTCCTCAATTGGGGAAGAACTTACCACTAAGTTACTCACTAAAAATTAGTTAAATTCCAAGTACACTCAAGAAAAAAGTACTTGGAAAGGGTTTGTAAATAAAAGCTACACTCACTGACTACAGTATTCAGTATGAATTCTCTACTGAGCTTTCATAAACTCTCTCTATGGAAATATTCTGTAGGGCTCTGAATAAAGAAAATTCCTCTGTTCAGGAACTTTCTCAGCTTTGAAGTACTTGCCATGATCTCTGTGTTCACCTAGCCAAGTTCATATTGCACCCACCAACATCTGTTTTAAATAAAAATTAATTTGTTGACCAGGACACCAATTTACCAGTATTTGCTTGGAAATATCTGAATGCAGTACATGTTGTTTAATACTTTGCTTACGTACCTATGTACATATATATGCAGAAAACCAATAGTAAATTGCATCTGCTGATCTTGCACATAGAAACCTCAAAATGCACGTGTCTAAAAATCTGTACCCTCATGTATATACATCCACAGCCTCAAATGTGCAAACCACATATGCATATGAATAAGCAGAAACGTTTCAAACACATACATTACTTTAACTGTGCCTGAACAGTATCATCCTAATAGCATCTGAAAACATCTTAAAGACTGGTGTAAAAATCACCAGTGGAAAAAAATCCATTTCTCTTCATTGCAAATGTTTGTTAAATGTAAATGCTTATATTCTACTCCTTAGAAGAACATTTGTCTGCATGTGGAATTTCATGATAAAAAGCTTTAGAGTGCCAGGTTTCTCTAGATAAACCCCACTGGTTTACTGATGCATGAATGCACTGAAATTGAATTACTGTACAATAGCAATTACTTTTCACAGTACAGTTATAATGAGAATCAGCTTCACAATGAACACCAGGTAGCTACAGTAGGAAAAGTTAATAAAAAGAAGTCCCTTATTTGCATTTTCCATTGCAGCAATGGTAGTTGCCTTAAAGAAAAATCATCCTTAACACTCCATTTGCCATCTTGCCAGTAAATCAACAATCATTTTTATAGGATCTCTTTATTTACAGAGAAAGACTAATGAAAATAGAAACTTAAATGCACAGCTGAAGTTTTAATAATAGCTTTTGGGATATTCCCTAATAACTTACTTATCTTTCATTTTGCTTTCTTTTTCACTTCCCTCTAGCCTTCTTGGAATTTTTTTCCATTGTGCCAATAAGTAGGAAATGTTAAAGCACCCAATGAACAATTTTAATTCCATCTCTTTTTCAATTTCAAGTTTATAGTCATTTGTTACTGAGCATTGTGTCATAGTGCTCCATTGCTGTTCAGTTTCATAAAACTTACAAAAATTATTTAAAAAATCATGGGTAACTTTACATTAAAGACTGATCAAGCACATTTCCTATGAGTGAAATCATTAAAAGTCCAGGAAAAGCATCTGCAGTAATACCACAAGTGACAGCAGACTACACAAGGCTCTCAAAGAGTTTATTTGTGTTTGGCTGTAAAATTAAACCAACTGCTGAACAGTGCAGGAAACACTTCCACGTCTGCCACCTTATGGGCAGTAAGATTTTTCCCAACTCAAGGGTCATAATCTTAAAAGCAAATGGATACATCAACCTTTGTCACAGATAGAAACAAAGCAACAGCAACACTGAATCAAAGCTGCTCTTAGGTGATTTTAACTTCATTCATGACACAAATAACTCAGAATAAAATATAAAGTTGCCTGCCTGAAATTCCATCAAGTAGGGCAGTATTAGGAAGGAAATGGTTAACAGGAATATCCTGAACTGACATAAACCTGAGGTAAATAGTGAACACTGGGGACAGGCTGGAAAGTTGCTTGCAAGGGTTTCCATCAGTAAGTAGATGACAAAAGGTTATATAATTGGTTTAGTACTTTCAGTTTTCCATTTATCTTATGTATCTGACAGCATAAAAATAGGACATTCTGTGATAGGATAATTGCATACTGAAGGGTAATTCAAACAGGGGATGGATATGATAAAAATCATACTGAACCAACTAATCACTATGAAAAGCGATGAGACAGAAAGATAAAAATTCAACCAGAATATTAAGGGGGAGGAGGGAAAAGAGAGTTCAAACGTGATAGTAGCTTTGAACAAGTTAATGTGTTTGAAAGTATAATGCAAAACAAACCAACCAACCAACCAAACAAAAACCACGAGGCCTTTCCAAGCCATTCTATTTCTATATTTCCTGGTCTTTCTTCTTGGCCTTTTCTACCAATCAAACATTTTATATGCTATGGCCTTCTGAATATTTGTCACCGATTGTTATATCTGCTAGAACCCAAAGAAGTACATTGCTTAAAATGTTTTATCTAAAAAGTATTTTAGATTAAACCATGGATATTGATGTCTACATGAAGCTAATACAATCAGTATTGTAGGGTAACAATTTGGGCTAACTGTGGAACACGTTTTCTGAGCCCTTGGATTTGAACCCTCACTATGGTGACACCATTATTTTAGGGCTGAGAGATATTTGTAGGGTACTTTTCATTCCGTATTTACCCCAATATATCCAACATACTACTCTGAACTCTATGTTTCAGTGCTCTTGCACAAGTTTCCATCAAAAGCTTGTATCAAAATTGCATTATTTTAGAGGCAAGATGATCAGGTTGCAGAGTGGAGCAGAGATCTCAGGTCCATAGGAGTGTTGTAACTCCTATCTCCCCACCCCAGATTTGAGGGGAAAATTAGTTATGATATACAGATGAAACTCCTGTAAAACCTGCACTGTACCAAAAGTTTTTGTACTTCTCAGGATGTAAAACACAAAACACTACTTACTGCCAGAACATAACACGTCACTCACTACAGCTCTAGCAACCAAGATTGACCACTTTATGTAATTATGCAAAAATTAATTGCTCTATTGGAAACTACACTGAACAGATCATTTCTTAAAAGAAGTGACCCTGTCCAAACCAAGCTTTTAGCTTCCTTTCCAAAGACAGAAACCGTCCAAAGAAGGCTCTGGATTTCAGTTACTTTTTCCACCACTAAAATCCATTCATTCAATATTATACACATGGTTTAACTTCACAGAATTTGGGCCCATTTTCACCCAGAGCATGGTGGCCTATATTGATCCTACATTTTTTTCCTCCTTAGATAAACATACCATCTGTTTGAAGAGACCACACCTGTTCTAAACATTTGTTAGGAAGCTCTAATTGAGACACAAACTGCTCTTCCCCACCAACACTCCTCGCTCATGGAATTCTATTCCCTCACCAGCAAGTGTGCAGCTCGCTGGTCACTTCTTGATCCAAATAAGTGCAACTCCAAGAATGATTTTTTCAAATTGTTATGATCTCAGGGGAGCAGTTTTCTCTGCTAAGGAACAAGGAAAACAGTTCCCCCTGAGTCAATATTCTGCAGGCTTCTGGAAGCTGTTGCACACATATTAAAGTGTAGTTTTTCCTCTGAAAAACAGACTGTAAAAATAGCATTGTGGGGTTCCACGTTTATTGTCTTTCTCTGCTTCCCTGCCAAGCGCGCTCCGTTTTACAAGCTGAAATATGTTTTACTTCACTGTCAGCCCAGAAAATTCAACCTCTAAAATGTAGCCAAATTCCTTCCTCCCTTTTGCACCATAACAAATAATACAAGACTGGGGGCGAAATTGTGTCTACAGTTACACAAATGGAATCCCTGTCCTCGGGTGATGCTTTCGGCTCTGCGGTTGAGACATAAATACCTTCAACTCAATTGAGCAGACAAGCCTGGCTGAAATGGAGTAGCTGCTGGTAAACAGCATCACCAGAATGTCCTGGTAGTTTGCTGACACAGGTGATGTAACAGGAACTACTGTTCCAGGCAGTCACCTCCATTTCTAGAAAAAAATAATGCAAAATGAAAACTACAACAGGAAGATCAGTTATTCTTTAGGACCTGCAAGTTACGACGAGCTCCTGTTTGATACAGTAAAACATAGAAGTCAGAATTTTTTCTCTTTCTTATGGTAAATCTCACAGGCATGAAAGCTACTGCAAAAGCAAGATCAGAATGGAGATTTTAGAAAAAAAAACACCAAACCAACCAACCAAATACACAAAAACTTACAGATGTACAGAAAGCTGTCTATAGTTACTTAAGGATCACTATTAAGTTGCCTGTAGAGTGATGTAGTACTTACCACAATTAAAGGAATTTTGTATTTAGTTCCATTTGAAGTCTTTGCTTGTTTTTCTTGATTTGAACTAAAGGACAGTTATTGAACTCAGATATTTCCCTGCAATACTATTTTTGTAAGAGTGAGCAGTGAAATTAAGTCTGCTTTGGTTGGATATTTTGAAATCTAACATTTTAATGCACAACCGTATGTAGTTATGTTTTACTGCACACAAATGATACCTTACAAACTCATATCAGAAATTGGTAGCCCAAACTCTCTTACATTTATCCACTGAAGGTATAAATAATTTATATCTATTCTCTTGAACGCTGATCCTAAAATACTTCTGAATGCTTTCGCATTTCCACTTCAGCACCTTCAATTGCTAGTACAGCCTTCAGAGCAAAACCTAAATTATATACTTAGTTTTACATCACAGAAGGAAATAGCAGGTTGATCTGCTGCTTACCCGTACAGCTTCAGACTTCTTATGAAACATTTCTTCCATATTCTTCGCTAACTTTTTCACAAGCTGGAGGCCATCAATTTCTTCTATTGCAACATCCTTCTCATATTCTTTGTATTTCTGGAAAAAGAAAAAAAAATAGGGAAAAGTTATTCACAGGGAACCAGCTGAAATTTTGACAACTAATTATTAGTTTCGTATTACACTTATACTGACATTCTTCATTTATGTGACATTTATTGGTGTGACAGCAGACTGCCTTGTGCCAAGATGCCATTGCAGGAAGAGAACAACTGGATTGGAACCAGAACTCCATTTAAAACAATAATAAAAATATTTATCTCGTGCACTGTAGGAAAATGGCAATTCCCCTTCACAACATTTAAATTACACCTCCCCCCAACTAAACAACAGCCAAAAAAAAGTAGCCAAAAATACATGTATCCCATCCAAGAACCATTTCAAACCAGTGATATGCTTGGCAATCCACTGAGTCTCAGCAACCTAGAATTATCCTCCTCCTCCTAAGCAGAACTTCCTGTAGACATCTATTCCACAAGCTGCATACAATGCTTACATTATAAATACATACACTACAAGCTTGTCAAGACACTTCCATGCAAAGAAAACCCTAAACAAGTCACAGGAACGTGAGTCTTCATCCCAACACAAGCATAAAAGGATCCTTTATGCACTATGGATGAGCATCACTGTGCGGTCTCGTGTCCCCATGTGACTCTCTCTCAGAATGCCTAGGCACTAAAAATATATTCCAAACTATTTTTATCTACTATTTTCTGCATATCAAAATTTTTTCTTTATCAATGTTTATAAGGGAGCTTGTAAGAATGAATTATTTTCATCTTCTTTCCCGTGTCATTCCAGTATAGCCCCTGCTCTAAGAACAGATGCCTTTCAGTCCAGCTGTGGTTTGCTCATCTCCTTCTAAAACATGTATGATTATGTTGAACTAATCACTGCCCATTTCCAAATCCTCAACCTCTTCACAACCTGTACCTCCATGACACTGCAAGGAAGAAGAAAGGCATATCTGGCTTTTGCCAGTTTTATCCCTGTGTGCCAAAAATACCTTCCAAACCCTTAGGACAACCCACAGTACGGTATTTGAGCCAATAAAATGAAATGGTATTATTCAAAAGATTTATCACTAGAATTCACCTACAGAATTACAATTATCTCCTTGTATAACTCCAGAGAATGAAGAATAGGACAATCAAAAACAGTGGTTCAAAGTGCCTGGATGAACATTAACATGATCAAAACAGTGAATAAGTCATGACCAGTCATGTCCTGGCTGGTGATGGAAGAAAGGATTCTATTTTAGGAGAACATTGTGCCCATTTCTTCCAACAAAACTGATTTTCAAGGTAGAATGACACTTTGGACTTGCTTTAAAATTTATACTTCTCTGTGAAAACTTGTGTGAATATTTTAATAATGAAACAATATTTGATAAAACATAATTTGCAGATAATTTCAAAATAAAGTTAAAAATACAAAGCTGTCAGTAAATATTTAGGGCAATAAAATTTTTACATTCCACAATTTCAGTAATAATTTCATTTTTCCACACTGTTTCCTGTGATGAGTCTCTAGTCTGAGACTTTGATAGCAGCCTAAGCAACCTAAGAAACCTCAAGCAGGCCACTTGGGTTTTGCTCCCTTGGGGAAGGAGGGGAGATTTAGTTTTTTCCCCCCTTCTTGGTTGGCACTTAGATATCACAAGCAGAGTTCTGATTTTAACTCTGCAAGTCCATTTTGCCATCACTTGAGATAAGAGTGGTTTGTCTACAATAGAAAAATATATTTTTATTATTTACTGGAGCAAATACAAGAACACAGTAGACAGAGAGGCAAACATTATTGCAACAAATACTGTGATAAATTGTAGTAAATGATCAGCAAATTGAAAACATTGCCAGGTAATTAATGATGTCAAAGTCTGTCCACATCCCACAGGATTTGAAGCTTTGGAGAATTTAAAACAAATGAAGTACAAATTTGAATCACTTATTTCCAGCTGCACAGATCCTGTTCAACATCTCACCTTCTGATAAAAATAGTTTCCTTTAGACTTGACCTTTGAGTTCTCAGAAAGCATTCTAAAATGCATCACTGGAAGAGATTGCTTTCAGGTCATCAGATTTATTGATTTAAGCTTTGCCATCAAGTGAAGAAAACCAGGCAATTATTCACTGGGTTTGTGAGAAAACTGACTGGTACAGTTGAAGTCCACAAAATTTTCAAGACACACAAAATCCTACCACGTACTCTGTTAGGTTCTTGTGAGAGCATATTAAAAAGCCACACTTCTCAATTTTGATTAACTGGTGCTTTTGAAAATTAAAAATAACTTGTACTCAAAATAGATGTGAATGATTTCTTAACTGATAATTTTTGATTTTATCACTATGCTTGCTCATAGTACATAAATTCTTTTTTTGCTAATTTAAAAGCTAACGTTCCAACATAAAAGAAGAAACAGAAGATATTATTTAAGATCTATTTGAAAAGACCACACATCTTGCATGGTGCCTGTCTAGTCAGTTGTTGGAAACCTTCAAGAACATTCCCAACCAACTAGGAGTGGTTACTTGATCTGCAAGACCCTGCTAACCAAGAGGTTTACATCACAAGAGGTTTGCATAGTATGTATTTTACAGTCATATAAAAAACAATTCTATTTTTTCAGGCATCAGTGAAAGGTCTCAAAACAGGAGAAATTACGTGGTTGGAAAAAGCACCAGCTGTTTTTACTGTCCTTGTGCTCCAGCAATTTTGTCTGGAATGAAGAGGTGCCAGCCTAATCTGTGTCTGTGCACATCCTCTTAGCACTCACTCTGCATGATGCTGGGAATTTAGATTCAATTTAGAAAGTAGTTGTTTTTATAACTACTGCCAATGCAAGAAACCTGAATCACACAAGACAGTGAAAAAACCAGAACCACAGAAGGCCATCATTGATAATGGATTCTCTTCCTTTCACTGCAGAGGCTCTCAGATCTCCAGCTCTCATCATTTCCCTACCACTAAATTTTTACATATTAAATTTGGGGTTAATGTAAATAAACTAAAACAGCAAAGTCCCTTTGAAATAAGTTCAAATTATTTTTTAAATGAAATTATTTCATTTTAAGGTAATCTTGAGAATGCAGCACTGTGCCACTATGGCTCCAAGTAAACAAAATGCTATCGTGGAGTGGTGAAAAAAAAACCAGTTACTGAGCCAGGCTGGCCTTTATACTCCAGACTTGCCAACTACCTTTAGTACTGCTGCTCTGAAGGGCTATTCCAAGCAATGCCTTAAACTGACATTTCCCTTCACTGTAAAAATTATGAAGCTGATGATAAAGCTTTTGTTTTAATTTTAAAATTAAAAAAATTAAACCCTCTTTTTTTTTTCAGTATTTCATAGTTTTATTCCTTTAGAGGATACTGAAAAGTTCTCATCATTTGCAACTTAGGTAGTAATACATGTGCACTGTTATTAAAGGGAGAGAAAACAACTATCGCTTCACTATAAATAATTGACCTCCATAAAAAAACGTGCATGAAAAATTAGAGTCATAGTTGGATCTTTTCTTTTGATAAGTGGATTTCCAATTGTCTAGAAGATTGAGCAGATACAACTTCTGATTTGCTGCATTATAAAAAAAAAAAAAAAAAGAACTTGAAATGCTGATTCTTTCTGCTTGCAAAAATCAGCATTTGGTAAGAAATTCTCCAGAGAGACAGGAACATTTATCATCTGAGAAAGCACACAAAAAATACATTATTTCTTCAGTATCTGTTTTGCCAGATCATTTCACATAAACACCGGGGAAAGACAGACAGTATTTCACTGTCAGAACTCTTAATGTTTTTCATGAGTTTAGGTGTGGGTTTTTTTCTCTTGCTTAATAAATGGTCATCTAGAAATAACAAACCAGAAAGCAACCTATACAAAACTGGGGTCAGGAGCCTTTAATGCAATCCAAGTATTTGGCACTGAAACAACAACAAACACACACACACACCCAACAAAAAGTGCAAACACACAAACAAAAAACCCAAACAAAACCCCATAACAAAGAAAAACACCACCAAAACCCAAACAAACAAAACCAAAATAAAGCTAAACCACACTGAAACCTACATAGTTTGAGTGACTAAGGCAGGAAAAGTACACTCAAAGCAAGATTGTCAGCTACAGCTGGAATGTTTTCTCCTTGTTTTTACTCCAGAGAAACATTATCTTTGTGTTCCAACTTGTAGCTACTTCTATCAAGTCTTATCAAAATCAAGATATTTGCCCTTATGCTGTATATAAAAATATTTCAAGTTACTTACAAGTGTGTAAACAGTCCTTAGTCTCAGTCTTTCAACAAGGCTCTGGGTGCTTTGCACATCTGCAGAACACTACACCCATTTATGATGAAAACAATTCCCACTCCCTGGGATTTTCAGAGCCAGTAAATACCACTACCATCCTGATTAAAGAAAGGAATTCAACAGGAATCTTGTAATAATACTATAGAAGTAATCTCTCTGGTTGCATATTTGGAATGGATATATGCCTGTGAGGTGCATTCACAGCTATAGTTGTACTTACTTTACAAATGCTGCTGTTTGAGAGGTTTTGTCACAGACATGTTAAATCTATATATGCATACATACATTTTGTTTTACAATGAAAAAGCAGAACCGTCATGCAAATGAAAGATCAAATATCCAATCTATCCATTGTTTCCATGACAAAAATAAGTGCATGTTTACTCCACGCCATTTCCAAAAAACCGCTTGCAGATGTTGAAATCTCAACATTGCAAAATGTAAAATGAGATCACAGAAACATACACTTTTGATTAAATCACCAACTTTTGATTTCAGTTGATATCTGTGGCCCAGTAGAAGGGCTGTGCCAGGCAGTGATGGAACAGTTTACACTTGCTTCAGACACTGCCATGGGATCCTAACAGTGACTCCCTTCAGAGGGCAAGTGCTGGTCTGAAGGGTCACAGGAATTAATGGGCTTATTAGAACTATTTGAATTCTGTAATTTAGATTTCCTGACAACCAAATGTAATCAATGAAAGACTCTGCAAAGCTGCTAAAAGCTC